TAATATTATAAATATATTTTAAACCATAGATGAATGATTGGTCTCGCTTCACTCGACTATATACCGCCGGCGTACTTGTCTAATGCGGCAACAAATACTATGCCGAAATCGGCATACCCGAGCTTTCACCGAGCCAGTCAACCTGACTGGCTCGGTGAAAGCTATGGGTAGTACGTATATTAAGCTAGCAGACCATGGTCGCAACGCGCACATCTAACCTACTGGGTATTTTACTGGCTTTCGCGACTTCCGTCCCATTTCACGAAATCACTCCCACAAATTGCAGGAAAGCGAGAGGAAAGATGTTACATATCAAAAACTAATTATTATTAACACTTGCTATATAATCCATACCAAATGTTGTTTATAAACGGGAAACTCATTTTTCTATCATCATTATCATCAGCCTATTAATGTCCCCACTGCTGAGGCACAGGCCTTCCCTATAGATGGAATAGGGAGATTGGGAAATGACCCACTACGCAGGCACAGTGCGGATTGGCGGGTGCTAACTGCAGATGCAGCCGGGACCAACGGCTTAACGTGCCTTCCGAAGCACGGAGGAACTCGAGATAAAAGATTTTTGGTCACCCATCCACTGCGAAAGTTGCTTAACTTCAACTATCGCAGCCCAACGCGCTAACCACCCGTGCCATCGAGCTCCTCAATTTTCTATACTATAAATGAATAGCATAATCCCACATACTTAATCCACGTCCCATAAAGACACAGCATCTGGTCACCCCACAGTGAATTATTATATCGATTGCGCGAAAATGTCTAGGTATGTACGTATGTAGTTGATAGTGAAAAAAAGTGTTCTGAGAAATCATTGGCAACCGAACTTCGTATTTGTGTTTGACCTTCAGAATTATTATTGCAGCTGAAGTATTTTCTTTTTACGATTCCACATTTTGCTATAATCGCCGCCCATTTAACACGCTTTCTTGTGGAGTACAAGAAAATATCGATTGAGGAAGTTAGGTACAAAAAAAGGTAAATTTAGAAAATCAAAAAACCCGACTGCTTAATTATACTTCAAATAAATACTGAAAAGAAAAAAACAAGTCTATAATTTTGTTAATAAGGAACAAAGCTACTTTAACAGCCGGGACCCATTAGATATTCAAGAATACATAATATTTTTCAATACTGGGTCCCGACTGTTAAAGTAGCTTTGTTCCTTATTAACAGAATTATAGACTTGTTTTTTTCTTTTCAGTATTTATTTGAAGTATAATTAAGCATTCGGGTTTTTTGATTTTTTAAATTTACCTTTTTTATTTTACACTTTTTAGTTTGTTAGTATTTTAAAACAGTATATACCGTAGTCTTGTTACTTCAGTAAGGGAATTAATATCGCGGGAATTATTAAGTACCTTGCGGTGGTCTAAAAGATTGATTTATTAAGACATAAAGAGACTTTACCAGCGGGGTCAAGGCTACAGATGGGCCTCAATTTTCGCAAAAATGTGTGAAGTTAAATGAAGTCGTTACATAAATATTTAATGTATGTAAATTTTATAGTAAACTACCACTTATTCAATAATCTGTTAATACAAAATGTACATTTTAGAAATAGATATCAAATAATATTTTAGTTTTGATTCACTATTTTAGCGGTAATGGTTTACAAATTAAAAATAGATATATGGTGTCACGGACTTTTTTAGAACTATTTAAGAGATACATTTTCACTCTACGTTACATTCATGTAGCTTTTATTAGTTTTGCAGTGCAGGCCAGAATGGCTCGCAGATGGGAGATTGAGATGGGAGAATGCCAATTATGCTACTTAAGTTTTTAACTTTTTGAGTAAATTGAGTTTTTTTTTATTAATCATTTATGTGTCAATTTTTGTATAAAATTTAATGTATTATAAGGTAATCTTGCTGGTTTTGAAACTTGGAAAAAAATAATAAAATAAATATCAAATGACACCCTTTGACATAATAGCATGCAAATGTCACTATTTGATTCAATTTTTTGTAAAATATCACCTTTTCAAACCCACTGTCTAAAAAATGTTACCTCATCAAACATTTAGAATGAAAATAAAAATAATAATAAGACATAATAGATTTTACATAAAACATTTTATTTTCTTATACATATATTTCTCCACAATCTGGTTCCTAGTTTGAACCAACTAAAGTCTTTTCAAACGTATTCCTAAAAATATGTCACTTTTTGAATTCAAGTCTTAATAATCACTGAATTGAATAAAAATGTAACTTTTTGTTGACGTGACAACGTCTTAAATTAGGTTGCGGCTGGGAGTCACTTATGAAAAAGTGTAACGCTCGGTAACGTTACGATGAGTTTAAGTTTACATGTACAATGTTTTAGTAAACAAAATATATTTCTATAGTTAAAATTTGTGCAATTCTTATTTTCATTCAATTTCTTGTTCCTATTGTGCAATTTAATTATATTCATATCAATAAATATTCTACCGAGAAAAAGACGTTGTCACGTAAAATCTTCGCCCGTAAAACCGACTTTACAGGCAACCATTTTTTTTTTCGGAAGCAGCAGTACACGTCGATTTTTCTATGAAACTAGGTACTGACTTTTTCAACAAATTCTTGGGAGTTAAAGATAGAATTTAACATTTTGAGCCGATTAAAATAAAAAACCGAACAGAGCAAAATACGAAAATGTCATTTTTTGTTCCCAACCTTCTCAATTCTAGTAATAGGGGCGATGAATGGGGTAAGGTATCAAAATCTTAAATCGGAAAAAGTAATTACGCCTCTGCAGACGTCGCCACCTAGACATCGCCGATCATTGCACAATCAAGTGCAATCTTCATCTTGTTAGGAGTCTGTCTGTCAGTTGTCAAATGCTAAAAATGGGCTCCCTTAAAAGTGGTCAAGCGTACAACTTGTCGGCTGTAATGGATCGAAACAAAATACGTTATGAATATAATTATAGGTTTTCGGTCAGTGTGCAACAAAGTCGATATTTCCCCTTACCACAGCCGAGTGTTGCCAGGCTTTCATTTCGTTTTCCCTTTATACGGTCTCAGTTTACCCTAGATTTACATTGGTGTCAATTCTGGCGTGATTCTCTAAACTTAAAACTAAATTTAACATCAGTCTCTCCTTTTCATTCTGTATAGAGAATGACAAGGATACACTGTTGCCAAATTTAAGTTTAGGTTTAGAGAAACATGCCAGAATCGACAACACTGTTTTTTCTTGTATCTCTTTGCATACATCTACTGCTTTTTTCTATAACGCCTCCCGATTTAAAAATCGAACCTGGCAACACTGCTTATAACTTTTTACTCAAGTGTCGCCGCACATGGGCCACCGACACACAACCACAAAACGCCGCCAACGGCATATTTCTTGTAGTTTTCATACATTTTATATTTACTCACCACACACGGTACGGTACGCCGGTGGCCGCCACACGCTACAAATCGTCGTTGATCGCTTCTTGTGGCCCGCACCGGCCAAACGCCGCCACACGTCACTCGCGCGATTCCCCACCCCTCTCTCCCTTGCCTTAGTCGGCCGCTGTCGCGCGCTTCAGCCACTTTAGTAGCCGCTTCTAGCTTCTCGTGGCGGCGTTTGTAGCTGTGGTGTGTGGCCCGTGTGCGGCGACACTAACACCTTTGATAATATCGGTAATACAACACGTAACAAAACGATCAGTTAGACCGCTATGTTTCCTCATTTCAATAAATGTAACCGCCTCGTCACGTAATGAGAAGCAGCCATAATCACCAAAAATTGAATATAAATGTAACCGCAAACGTTTGAAAGTGAAAATTGTTACGTGATATTTTTTGTTTTTTGTTTTAAGCTTTGATGGTCACTAACATTATAGTAATATAAGTTATTTACGGGATTGTTACCATGTACCTTGTTTTTAGCGAGTTTCCGATATTTCGGCACTGTTGCAAGGGAGTGTGAGTAACTCCGTGTTACTCCGTGATCATGGCGCTTGCAAGAGTGCCGAAATATCGGAAACTCGCTAAAAACAAGGTACATGGTAACAATCCCGTAAATAACTTGTATTACTGTAGTGATATTTTTTTCCTTAATAGCACTTCCTGTCAAATTTTGTGATAGTTTTTTTTTTTTGTTTATTGACAAAATAAAGCTTGCGTGAGATGTACGGAATATTTGTATAATTGACGACCTCCGTGGTGTGAATGGTATGAACAATCAGCCAATTTGATTCCTGACCTACCGCAACTATTGCAAAATGCGAATGTGTGTATCCATGGAAACAAATTTGTTATTTTCAGAGCAATCACATTTGACGTGACAGATTTTGCCACCTCCTGTAACTTTTGGGGGGTGAATTAGAAACAAAAAAAGCTAACTACCGTGTTGGAGGAGCTCGATGGCGCAGGTGGTTAGCGCGTTCGGCTGCGATCGTTGAAGCTAAGCAACTTTCGCAGTGGTCGGTCGTTGGATGGGTGACCAAAAATTTACTATCTCGAGCTCCTCCGTGCTTCGGAAGGCACGTTAAGCCGTTGATCCCGGTTGCATCTGCAGTCGTTAGCACCCACCAATCCGCACTGGGCCCGCGTGGTGTGTCATGGCCCAATCTCCCTATTCCATCCATAGGGAAGGCCTGTGCCCCAGCAGTGAGGACATTAATAGGCTGATGATGCACCGTGTTACACATCAAATGAAAGAGCTCAATGTCAAGGTTTTTTTTTACAAATCTAAAAAGAATAGTTGACAATCATTTAAGAAAATTGATTAAAATTGACCTGTCTCATTTTTTGTGTTAGGGATACTAGGGTAACGGATAGAATATATACACTGATTCATATATATGTATATTTTACATTACACATCCACGACTTAGGTACACATACTCGTATTCATCATACAAACCGGGATTCGAACACGGGACTTGTGAGTAGGCGACACCTTAAAAACCGGCGTACATACTACTCGAACCACGGAGGTCGTTTTTATGGGCTGATGACGAAGATATCCTTAATTAATTCAATTTATCTCTTGTTGCAGTATGTCCAGAGCAAAAATCTGAGTTGGAGAAAACATGGGCAGTGCCACAGTGTCCAATGCTAAACCCCAAACAGCTATGGCAGAGACCGAGAAGAGATCGCTGAAGAAACTCCTACGAGTCCTCTTCAAAAAAGACAAGAAAAAGGAAAAAACTGCACCCACAGAAACAGATGGCGCTACCATCGAACCACAGCCCCAACAAACCTCGGCGCAAGCAGTGGAAAGCATACTCGAGAAGATAAAACAGTTGGACATCAAGAAGGAAGCATCAGACTCGCGCGAGGAAGACGAACTCGAAAACTTTTCCTTTAAACCCATAAGCGATGATGACGTCACAAGGCCCGACAGGTCCCAGTCCAATTCGTCAGGGGACAGCGGGTTTATAGAGAAGTATGTCCCAGAATCTGAGGACGATGAAGAGAGAGACAAAAGTGATGACGTCATTGTCTCCTTCGAGAAGCTTAATCTGAAGGATGGTAAAAAGGAGAAGAGGGTGCAGACGGTTGTCCTGGCCAGAGCGCCTATAAGGAACAAAGTTGGGGGAAAGCAAATTGCACCTTATGACCTGCAGCCGACGGACGCGTGTCGACAGGTAAGCTTAAAATTTTTGGCGTTATCGAGTCGATTTTACATTTAACGTTAACAACTAGGGTTGCCACCTTTTTTATGTCCAAATGTCGACAGGTAAACTTTAAATTTTTGGCGTTGTCGAGCCGATTTTACATTTAACGTTTACAACTAGGGTTGCCACCTTTTTATGTCCAAATGTCGACAGGTAAGCTTAAATTTTTTGGCGTTATCGAGCCGATTTTACATTTAACGTTAACAACTAGGGTTGCCGCCTTTTTTATGGCCAAATAAAGTACATTGGAGATTAAAGGTAGAAAAAAAAGTACATTGTGTCCAAAATAAAGTACTTTTTATTCCACTTTATTAGTAAGCTTAAAAATATTTTTTATGTTGCGTTGTGGCTACTAAAAATCTGTAGTTCTTATCCGTAATGGGAAAGGCCATTGTACAAAGCCATAGCCAGATAATGTTGCAGGAATGAGCTAAGGGTGACATATTATACATACTGTTTTTTCCATTTTACGCAAAAATTCTTCCTATCCTCTTTTTGTATGTTTAATGTAAAATTAATCCCCAAGTATTCAAATCACATCAAATAAAGTATTTTCGCGTGCTTTATTGTTGGCATAAAGTATAGAGTACAGTTACGCGAAATAACGTACAATACTTTATAATAAAGTACGGGTGGCAACACTATTAAAATCCTCGGCCTCGGCGGCAAAAAAATTTTCAACAATCGGCCATGATGTGTAGGTAGATTTAGGTCCCGTCCAAAACCTCAGTTAATTTACATTATATCACGTTTTTTTCGCGTGTAACTGTCAAACTCTATAGTAATTTGACAATTGAGCGTGATAAAAACGTGTTTTAAATCATATCGCGGTGCTCATGTTAGAGGGGCAGGGTACGTAAATTCCCGTTTTGACATTTGTACGCCCATGGAAATTTCATATACGAAATGAGTTCTAAACTTGAAAAAATAATGATTGATTTTCATTGCTATTCTTCCATCAACAATTGTTGATCGAAGTTGTCATTACAGACGTGCAGTTTGTCACAAAATTTATCGAATCGCTAATTTGGAGACGTAGAATTTATATTTTGCAAGAACATATTAAATTGTGATCGTACTGTAGAATATGATTCCGGAAACTTTTTATTTCATGTTTAAAACCATTAAATATATAAAACATTAAATTAACCGCTTTTTGACAGAATCTTTAAGAGATTTGGTAAAATTAATTGACTTTATAATTATCATTAAGAACTATATGTCCTTATTCTTTGAAACTATGGTGTCCTTACAACATAACTGATTTTCTAATCAGAACTTGAAAAAACCAATGCACTTTTGCAATACATAATCAAACAATCAAATACTCATACAAACTTGAATCGATTCATCGTGAGTATCGTGTGCCGAGTCGCATGGTGACATCACTAGTTACAAATGTCAAAACGAGCCTATTTATTTAGTGATATCTGTAGGAACCTACTCACATCAATATACTTACGAAATCATCGCTAATTAGTTGAACCATAAACAACATAATGTACTTTTGTTATATCAGTACCCCATACATTTTCCTTAAATTATCATTGAATTTATAAATAACATTAGGTAGTTTTCCGCCATGATATATACGTATGTACGGCCTTATAGCAGTTGCTTGTGCAAATTTTAAAACTCGTAAATACAGTTGAATTTCCTTAATGTTTAAGGGTTTACAAACAATGGAGTGCTATTAATATACCTGCACTGCACATCTGTCTGTATGTCAAAAGACTCTGTAAACTTTTCCGACGACCTAGGTGGCCAAGTGGTTTGTACGCCGGGTTTCATGATGTCGCTGACTCGAGAGGTCCCGGTTCGAATTCCGGTGGGGGCAGATGTTTGTGTGATGAATACGAGCATTTGTACTCCAGTCATGGATGTTTATTATGTATTTCTATATAAATATATAGAAATACATAATAAACTATAAAATATAAAAAGGTGACAACCCTAACGATAACCTCTATCCCTAAATACATCCAGTGTATTACGTAATAATGCTAATCAACGCTACAAGAAGTCGCGCCATCGAGTGATGGCCGCAATCTTATGGCCAATCATCTCACAGGATTGCTATAGCTATCGCTATCGTTTACGATCTCATTTTGTCATTTCTGACCGCCGAAGGTTTTCAAATGCTTCGAGCGAGTTTTTTTCTTTTGTAGTGGTAACAACAACCATATCAAGGAAAATGAGCGTATTAAAATTTTTATCACCACTAAAGACGTCTCGTCTAATGTGGAGATTTCATAGGCATAGTATTACTACTAATTATTCTTTGTGTAATTAAAGACAGCCAAACCTCGAATTTTGCAATTTTTATACGCAATTTTCAGTCTTAACTACTGTTGTCCCTATCGCACGGTATTTGCCAAAGCGTGACAGCTACAGTTTTGTCAAATATGTACCTACCTATTTCTCAAATATCTCTCGGCTTGCGTCCGCTTTTAATTCTCAAAGGTTTACAACTTTCATAGGTATTTTGCGTTGTTAAAGGCTGTCTGTAAGCTAAGTACAGGTTTGCCCGATAAAAAAAAATATAGAAAGTCTCAAGGTAGAGTTTCAAGCCAAGCGTCACAGACGCAGTTTCTATAGCGTCACCGACGCTCCGTCTCTCTATCAAGCAGTCTTATCATACTCGTTTATCATCATTATGGATATGCAACTTGATTTGCTAGAGGAGAAAGAAGATGATTATCTTTTACTTCGATACTACTTCAGTTTGGAAAGAGCCTCTACCAATCCAGTCATGGATGTTTAATATGTATTTTCTATAAAAATATACTTATATATGTACAGTATATGTATTCTATTCGTTACCCTAGTATCCCATAACACAAGCCTTATAGTGCTTACTTTGGGGCTAGGCTAATTGGTGTGAGTGCATAAAAAAAAAAAATAGACGCGGCGACACTGACGCTATAGACGCCGCGCCGAGACGCTCGCTTCGAAAGTCTACCTTTATGTAGATTTCTGATTCCATTATTTTTAGGGTTCCGTACCTTAAAGGAAAAAACGGAACCCTTGTAGGATCACTTTGTTGTCCGTCCGTCCGTCTGACAAGACCGTTTTTCTCAAGAACGCGTGGAGGTATCAAACATATCTATTACTTAGGTCTACTGTCCCTTGGAGCTCCGAGAGGAGCTCGATGGCGCAGGTGGTTAGCGCGTTCGGCTGCGATCGTTGTAGTTAAGCAACTTTCGCAGTGGTCGGTCTTTGGATGGGTGACCAAAAATTTCTATCTCGAGTTCCTCCGTGCTTCGGAAGGCACGTTAAGCCGTTGGTCCCGGTTGCATCTGCAATCGTTAGAACCCGCCAATCCGCACTGGGCCCGCGTTTATGCCGCAAATTTTCGAAACTCGCACGGGAATCAAAACCTACAGGGCACTTCCCGTGAACTTAGAATCTTGAAATTTGGTACGAAGTAACGTCTTATAGTATACATACAGATAAAGGAAAAATTGCGAAAACCGTAAATTTTTAGTTACATCATATAATAAAAAATATTTTTGAAAATTCAGGTTCGTACGGAACCCTCGGTGCGCGAGTCCGACTTGCACTTGGCCGGTTTTTTGGATAAACGCTACTCTATGGATCTCCATGGTTTTCTAGTTAATTGGATGGCTATAGTGACCTCCTTTTACAATCCACTTTCACCATTAATTTACTATCGATGGGTGACTATGGCACGTAAAACTGAATTACAAATAAATATTTCCAACACACACACCAATTAGCCTAGCCCCAAAGTAAGCACTATAAGGCTTGTGTTATGGGATGCTAGGGTAACGGATAGAATACATATATTGTACATATATAGGTATATTTATATAGAAATCCCTGCCCTGTCGTATATATAAAAATAAAAAAATAACACCATGATAAATGAGGGGCTATTCATTTATGTTGTTTTGACGACTTCCGTGGCCGAGTGGTTTGTACGCCGGGTTTCATGGTGTGGCCTACTCGAGAGGTCCCGGGTTCGAATCCCGGTGGGGGCAGATGTTTGTGTGATGTATACGAGCATTTGTATATATAGATAAATATACTTATATATGTATCGGTATATGTATTCTATCCGTTATCCTAGTATCCCATAACACAAGCCTTACAGTCCTTACTTTGGGGCTAGGCTAATTGGTTTAAGTGTTGGAAATATTTATTTATTTATTACGTAAGGCGATTTAGGGGGAGAGGGGTGTTGACCATGTCTTATTTTTTCTTACAAGGGAGTGGGAGGGTGTCTTAATAGTTCTTACTTTGAAAATGTAGTTCATTACTACCAAATAATAAAAATTGCAAGCAACTTTGTAGGAACAAATAAATACGTAATTTGAAAATAAATATCACAAGAAATCAAACGTATTCATTTATTCCTTAAGATTCTTATAACGTACAAGTGGCCCGCCCTGACTTCGCTTCGGGGTAGAATTGATCAAAATCCTTTTTTAGCGGATGCGCCTACGTTATAAAATCTACCTGCATGCCAAATTTCAGCCCGATCCGTCCAGTGGTTAAGGCTGTGCGTTGATAGATCACTATGTCAGTCAGTCAGTCACCTTTGAGGTTTTATATATATAGATTTGACCATAAAATCGCCTTTAACTGTGGCCTTCTATACTTATAGGCTGTAGGAATAACAAAATAGGTACATACGAATTAAAAATGGAGCACACGTCATTGTCAATAGCACAGTCATACTATTCAGCGATAAACACGAGTGTGTTCGTATGTTATTAAATATTAATTAACCTTTGTACGCAAACGAAAATCGGCTCAATATTATTGTAAAACTGGCGGCCGCCCGCGACTTCGTCTGCGTTCACTTTTTGTTTTTTTTTATAAATCATCATCATCATCATCATCATTATCAGCCTAATAATGTCCCCACTGCTGGGGCACAGGCCTTCCCTATGGATGGAATAGGGAGATTGGGCCATGGCCCACCACGCGGGCCTAGTGCGGGT